GTTACCACACAGTTTTTTTTCTTTAAATTCATGTATTTTTTATATATTTTCAATTTATTTGCTGGTAGATTTATTTTTAAGTTTTGATGAACGCAGTAATGCCTAAGGTAGCAATTGGAAAACATGAGAAAAAAATATCATTTTTTTTTAAATTTTTGGATTATGTGATGTAAATGATAGATCATTTCAGTTTTTTCTCTAAAACCTAGTTGTGGGTGAACAGTCCACCTTACAAGCCAAGTGACAAACTAAAGCAATGAATTCATTTTGCAGATATATTGAAGCTGTTTCACATAAAAGGTATTGAATGAATGAATCCAACAGTGCGATCACCACCTTGTTTGAACTATCACTCACTCACTCTCGCTGAAATTGATCAGTTTTGTCACTTCTGGGCGACAGCCTGCCACGTTTTTACAGAATAACAATCCTGAGTGAAATCTAGTCTAGGCAGCAGTTAATATTTTGCACATATGAATGTGCATAGTTGGCATCCTAAGGTATGGGATAAAATAGAATGTAAATTATTATATATCTGTCACCATAAGTTACAGTGTGCCGTAATTTTGCAGTATCGCACTGGATATTTTCATATTAGGAAACATGAATTCCAAAAACGATTATGCAGTAACTTTTGTAAGCGTCCTCTACTAATAAAAACAAAAATGGCTGCCTCCAGTGTCTAGAAGTTTGCTAAATCTGTTCTGAACGTTTAGGATTTCAGCATTCCGATGATGCGCTCCTGGAAGGAAAAGATGTATAACAATAAGGTTACTGTGAAATACTTTATTTTAGCTGGAATTAATTTTCGCAGAAAAGGCATTTTGGGTGTTTTGTATGGAATTTATTTTCACTGATTTTTGACAAGTTGAAAGTGAAATATAGGGAAAAAAGTATATTCGCTGGATTTTATTTTCACAGAATCATCCCTTCAGCGAAAACAGCGAAAATAAATTCCAAGCGAAAATAAAGTATTCTACAGTATTTTGGGAAATTGTTTAAAATTTAAAATAATAGACCATTTTTCCAATGATCTCGCAAGTTACGTGTCAAGGTGAACATAAAAAACAGGACAAACAAAGGTCATGGCGTTGTTGTAGCGATTTCAAAACAATTAGACGAGAGTAAGGATATCTCAATGCAATATTTGCCATTTCAAAGAACGGTATATCAATATTAATCTACATGTATAAAAAGAGAAGTTAAATTCATAATTCAATTTTGAAATTTAAGTGATTTACAGTAGGTCAACAGCAAAATACTCGTCTAAAGAAAAAAAATCAAATAAAAGTCCAAATAAAGTAAAAGTATTTACAAAAACAAATTTGTTAGATGGATTTTATGGCACAACTGGAAAACAGAAGCAGAGGAGGGTCCTCACTTCCTGTTTCTATTTTGCATGCTGGGTAGTTTTTCAAATGTTGTCCATACATTTAGATCATCACTGCTTATTCAGGTATTATGAAAATTTCATTTGCAAAAATGATCTGTATACCAGTACGAACCAACTGATTACAATTAAAGTTACAGGTAGAAACCTAGTCATAATTTTTGACAAAATTGGTCATAAATCACATGACAATGTTCATTAGTATATTATGTAAAATCATTAAGCTATTGTCCCATGGTACAATGAAATATCATTCTTTTGTGTGTTACAGTGACGTACTCTGAGAAACTTGTCCCAATATTTTCCAATAATCATTATTTTTAGAACAATTGAATAGAATAATAAAAAAAAAAAAAGTACCCCATCATTCACAATACATGTATATTTCAGCCTGTCACCAGTTTGCAATTTGAAATATGGCATAAAATAAGGTTCCCTATGGTAAAAGCGTTATAATACTGCCAAAATGGCAACTATACACTAAAATACAACCATTATTTTCTCAAAAATTAGGCTGGCGACTCCCACTTTTTTAAAATAAATATCCTTATATTGTATGTACAATTTATTGCTATAAATTAAATTAAATTAAATTAATAATTAAATTCTGGGTATTTGCATTTGTGAGTAAATACCTCATCTGCTGAACACCGCTGAACACAGACGTATCAAAACTCAGTAAGTAAGGACGTCAGCAAAATTAATAAAAAATCTAAAAAAAATATTTCCATCTGCGCATCCCATTTTTGCTTTACAATGTTATCAGAAACACACTATTTTATTTATGTAACATATTGTATTTTGCTATGGTCCAATCAAGCATACGATATTGGCCTCGTTTAAATTTTGTTCCATATTTTTTTTATTTTTTATTTTGATGCAGTGTTCTGATTGGACAACCTATCTCGCTACAAAATAAAGAATTAGAAGAATGTTCTCAACAGGAATTAACTGTTACACCATCAGATTTTCTCTCCAAAATTTTTCTGCACTGGGAAATGAACCCTATTTTTGGAGCCAACAGACAAAATTTGAGTCAGTTTTTACTCAAAAAATTTGGCTATTTTTTCCTAAGCTTCTGAAGGAAAGGGAAGACTATAAACCGTAGTACATGTATTTTGTAAATTTTAGATTTTTTTTTTTCTCTGATGCAGTTTTCTGACAACCTACTAGTATCTCGCTAAAAAGGGAAGAATTCATCAGGAATTAACCTTTTCACCACCAGACTTTTTCACACAAATTTTTCTGCACTTTTTTCTTATATTCTTCAATATCCCTGGAAATGAAGCCTAATTTTGGAGCCAACAGACAAAATTTGAGTCAATTTTTAGTTTTCACCCTAAAAAATTGGCTACTTTTGTCCCCATCTTCGAAAGTGTAGAAAATTTTGTGCATTTGTGGTAAAAAGAGAGAACTGGTGGAGTGGAATGTTCCATCAGTTCAGAAAGTACGAGACCAATTCCCATCCATGTGAAACTACAAACAGAAATAAAGTATTCTGTTCTCCTTACAGTGGAGACAGTGAACTCAAATGTTTATTATGTTATTTTATAATATTATTTTATTCTACACATATAAATTGTTACTAGTCTTCAAATCATTTTTTGGTAATGGCTCTCTTGAACTGACAGTACAGTCCTGTAGATTGTGACCATTATGGTCGCTATGGTGATTAAATTTAATCAATGGCAATTAAAAATAAATTTGTAGGTCACTTATTGGCAATCTAAACAACTGGCAAATTCTCCAACATAAAACAAAATAAACAGCTTGGTGCCAAACTTTTACCCACGTTTCAACACTTTGTACATGTGCATTTTCGTCACCCGTCATATTCATTCATTGTTAAGTTATTTTTAGTGACATACTACAATACATGTAGCTGCATAAACCGTAAGGGACATTAACATAATTGCTGTTTCTGTGTTGTCTATTATGTAATTGTAAAACAAATTCTGACGACTACTGAAAAATATGTATTAGAAGCCGCGACTATTAAAATGGTACAATGCAACAGGGGGGATGCGGCTTCTATTAGAGAATCTACACATATGAGAAACGGTGAATTGTTGGTTCTCAAGAAGAATGTGTGCGGCTTCTACTAGGGATGCTGCTCCTAATACAGATTTTACAGTAATACTTTTATACTTAGTTACTGAATTTCTCAGTTGGCCACCAACATTTTGATCTTGGTTGTCAATTAATTTAGCTAGATTCCATGGTGATATTTTTTCCATTATATGCAATGGGAGGTTATATCCCATGATGCATTGCATACATGTGCAGTAATATGCTCAGTACCGGTAGTGCGAAATTTGAATTCGGCTCAATACGCCTTAATCCAGACCACGAAGTTCTTTTTTTCTTCATAGTTGCCATTGGCAACCAAGTTCAATTTTGTAAAATGTTTTCATATTAGGATTTATGTCAAGTGTATGACTTTTTTCATTCCATGTCACGGAGCAATATTTTGAGATATAAAGAAATAATATCACCATAGAAACTAGTGTAATAAAGTCAGTTTGACAACATTTTTTATAACAATTTAGAGTCTTGAAACTTGAAAGAAATTGTTGGTGACCTTAATTTTTTTTTTTCATTTTTGGTATTCTGATGGCATGAACCCATACTACTGAAAGTATGATGAACAGGACAGTTTTTAATTTGGTGTGAACTACTTTAAGGAGAGTGAATACGAGAATTCCATATGGATTTCCATATGCGCGAGCATTTTTAGCACAAATTGTTATCGTCTCTTAGAACTTGATTCCTTTGCATGCGCAGATGATGACCCTCAATGATTTTAAAAGTAGTCGTCCATTTAAACTGACGCATGAAAAACGTTAAATCATTTGATTGGGAAATGATAGATAATTTTGTATGTGTCAAAATTGCAATATTAAACTACGCAACAGACTACAAGCGAACACGAGCCATTGATGTTTGACTAATTGAGCTCGCCTGGGGAACTCCAAACTCATCTATGCATTATATCACATTTTTTTAACTAAGGCCACACCGACTTAATTTTATGGATGACATCCGAGCGTGCATTAGTTTTCGCCTGCTCTCCAAAAAAGAAAAAAAAAATCTCTGATGACGAGTCTCTACAGATCGGTTTTCTGTGCGAAACTTGCCGACTCATATTGTTGCAAAGCGCCGGTTGTCGTCAAAACTCGTTTTGGTCTTCCTCAAAACGTGCCTACTTTGTCGTAAATGATCTTCTTATTGCTGGGAATTCCAACGTGGCGCCACCAAAATACAGAAACATAAAAGTTCAGAGGTAAAACGGAGGAATTGTTGTAGACTGTAGAGAGGAGCAAGCAAGGACATTTCTGTATCATTGCAATGTTTTGTTAGTTATTGTCATAAAGTAGCGATATGTACATCCCGCCTTGACTTGTACTGAAAATGGTGTTCATGCTGTACCTTGAATGCAGTGTTTCTGACTGAAGGTACTTCATCATGACTACATGTACTAGAGCTTGTCTGAAATGGTTATACCTGTGACAGTAATACAGTACGAGATGTGTATATCAATATGTGTCTCCTACAAATAAAGACTTCTGTTTTTATGATACACTGTTTTCTGTGGTTCAATTTCTGAATACCAGCTCCGTAGTCCTGTGGTTTTAGCAGCATTTTGGGGGGGGGGCAATAAGTGAACCCATCAACATTAAAAAAACATCACAAACCACCCATCCTGTGTAGGTGAGTACTGAAAAAAAACGACTGACCAGTTTATTTTAAAATTAATTTAAACTAAAAAAAGGAGATGAAATTAAGTCGTATCCACGTTGAGTGACTTAACTATCGTACACGTGTTAATCTGATAGACATTTATATACAATATAGTAAATCCCGGCGATGCCATAAGGTTTCGATACACTGACTAAACGGACTACTTTGAGCACAGATGTTCACTCGTTGCTCTGTAATCCCACAGTAGGTCTGTATGTAGTATATTGCATAGACAAAACTACACACAATAGAAGCAGGCCGATCGCCGAGTAGACGGCACATGAATAATTACAAAGCATGCAGTCGCTTTATGCAATTAAACGACTATATTTCCTGCGATTATACACCAGAAAGTGAGCACACTTAGAACACCGTCGGTGTTTCTTTGCAGGTCGCCGGTATTTATAAAAACGCACGCTGCAGGCAGGCCGTCCTGTGTGTATGTGTTAGTGTATATGTGTACCAACTCACCATGGGTCAAACTCGTGTATGATGCTCTCGAATCGGATGACGGCAAACATTCGTGATGAAAATCCCACCAGCCAAGCCAACGCCAGGATAAAGAAAGTTAAAAGTCCCAGCCATCCACCTGGGTTTGTCAGCGAATTTCGTATATCATGCTTCTCCCTGCTTTCCTTGTCCGCCATGTTGAATGACTGGCGCCATCAGCGACCGCGATTTCTAAACCAATGAGAAAATGACATGTGTGCACGTGATCGCATGCTGTATTTTGTTCGAGGGTTGGTTGGTACATTGTGCCACGAACCGTGGTTGTACAGATTGCGTTTTTTTATTGTCAGCACACAAAAAAAAACAAGCAATATACGGGTAAACCTAAGTAACAGTATTTCTGTATCCGACAAACTGAAGTATTTTAATTTAAAAATAAAATAACCTAATATTTATTAATTTATTCATGTAAAAAGTTCTAGTTCGTGCCTTCATTAAATTAATTATTGAAAATAAAAAATGAACACGGTTTAAATGAGGTTCGCGACTTCAAAATGTGTCGCTTTACTGGCACGATTTTTTTTTAAATAATTCATCCCAGTTTTTCAGATACGTATACCACAGGATGCGCCGTTAGAAACTCTGGGGCTAAATTATTATTTTTTTTACTGGTTGATTTTACAGAACTAACGACGCTTATATTGTTTTTTCTTAATGGCTGCTGTCTAAAAATAGTCCCGATGTGTAGGTACTTTTAACATCGACTACCAGTACGTCGTTCAATTGTGGTTTGAGACCAGACAAATCATCACTCGCCGCCTGAGACAACAAAAGCGCCCCGGCTTAAACATGTTGTTGTCTGTGAGGGCGCAAATAGCCAAGCAAGAATCATCGATATCGAACCAATTTGAACTACAAGTAATTGTTCATAACCCGTATCATGGATGAAAAACTGTTCAAAATAATTATAATAAATGTTAATCCTAATTAAATACCACTCATTTCATTACAAAAGCGATTATAATCATTTAATTAATTAATTGTACGAATATTGGACTAAAATTATTAAAATGTTCAGGTTTTAATCAAGAGTCGAAGCATGTTTCAGCAAGTCAACGTGTCACGTGACGGCACGATTACTGTCTCGTTTGTTCATTCCGGTCGCGCTCGTCGATCCGTGATCGCTATATTTCGAGTTTAAACTACTAGTACATACATGTATTTAAACAACATGATTACTCCACCCTCCCACGAGTAAACAGACCCAGCAGAAAGAAGTTCTTTCATCAACTTGACTGAACAGAACATGTAAATAAATACCACGTATCAGACTCACTGGAAGTTTTCTTCCGTCTGTTGGCGATTGCGGGTTTCCCTTCCATATCTGTCCACCCAGAAGTAATTGAAAGAAGTACGCCTTGCTCACTAGCTAGACTCGGATATTTGAATGATCCAGTGTACAATATCGCATTTACTCTATTTATAGTTGTCACACGCAACGTGATATTGCCGTAATTGGTATAGTACAGGTGTGATGGTTCAAATACCAAAATGGCAACAGTAACAGAAAGACTTCCCTGGCGGCGATGATAAAATACGAACACGGAGCCAACAGATGAGGTTTCAAGTACAATAAGTACATCAAGTACAATAACGCGGTAAAACTCCACTACTCCAATAACTAGATACTTAAACTCCAATACAATTCAACGAGATCTCCGATCTGAACTCAGTGCTGAACAACTCCCCTATATATACCCACACTGTCTATAAATAGACCATTACATCAGCATACATAATGAGTCTGGAACTTACTACCAATTTCTAGAATGTTCCATTACCTTCTATTGCCTCCTACAGTGTTCTATTACCTATTCAACCAGTTTCTAAACAAAATCTAGAATATTCCACCCAGACACAGTACGGTTCTAGAATATTCTCAGTGACACGGAAGTGGTACATAAGTCGTATGCGACAATAGTGTGTGAGCTTTGTTTAAAATCTATCTGACAATCACAATTGCTTGTAGAGGCACGACATTTTGCGTGGGGGCGAGATGATCTTCTCACCAGCCTTGCGCCCGGCCCGAATGCGCGAATTTACTAGGGGTCCGGGGCATGCGACCGCCCCTCAGTTTGCTCATTACCCCATTTTTATGAATTCAGTATATAACCATGTACAGCAAAAACACTATTTTCGGTTATGCATAATATTGTACTAAAATATACATTTACATGCGCCCTTTCGTGGTTAAGCGATTCTATGACGTAATTGGGCGACACGAAGACTTTCAAAGCGTCGGTATCGTTGTGACATGTGGTTATCCGTCAATGTAGATTATGATTGGGGAGAAATGTTGTATATTTGAGATGACGAACGACTACATTAGCAAACACAGTTGTCGATTTGAACGACGTTGCTGTCATTCATTTACGGCATTATGACGTCACAGAATCGCTCCACCACTACTTGTAGGAATATCCATATTAGCTGGAATAACTGGAGCAAAACAAAACTCTTTGTGACACGCAGTAGCTTGAAGTGTGTGATGACATTTTCAGTATTTATTCTCTTCAAAGTTTTTTGTTGTTATCTCATTCAAAACTGTCATTACCATATGTTTTATTTTCTGAGTTACCTAACAGTGTAATTGGCGACATCACTGAATCCGCGATTTCCAGAAAACATTGCAATATTTCCAACTGAAATTTACGTCATATATTGAGCGTTAAGTCACAACATAAAGATAAACACGACTTTTACCAAACATAGAGATATTGTCGACCCGTATTATTTTTGCGGTAGGGGTGCGACTAAATCCCGAAGAGTCGTATTATTTTTATGTTTGAGGAGCCACATCCGGGTACGGTATTGTTGGTACCCCGGATGTATGTCTAGTAACATACAATAATTTACTATGAGGGATTTGAAACTACAACTTTCCACAACAAGTCTGTCCGTTGCATCCGTTACGTTTCCTGACACGTTCTGTGTGACACCACAGCGTCTTCAATCGGGAGGGGGGTTCTCTCAAGCACGTCAACAGGCAGATACAGCAAGAATCTCTTGGTCGTCTGTCAATCTACATGTACCATTATTGTGTTGAACTACTAGTATTTCCCGAAATGTCGGGCTACATTCTAATCCCGGCCACAGCTTTTGCTTCTAGAGAAAAAATAACAGCGGTGGTAGTTCCAAAAATAAATTTGTCGACGAACCGGAACAACTGGAGCAAAAAAAAAACTCTTTGTGACACGCAGTAGCTTGAAGTGTGTGATGACATTTTCAGTTTTTATTCTCTTTTTTTTTTTTTTGTTATCTCATTCAAAACTGTCATTACCATATGTTTTATTTTCTGAGTTACCTAACAGTGTAATTGGCGACATCACTGAATCCGCGATTTCCAGAAAACATTGCAATATTTCCAACTGAAATTTACGTCATATATTGAGCGTTAAGTCACAACATAAAGATAAACACGACTTTTACCAAACATAGAGATATTGTCGACCCGTATTATTTTTGCGGTAGGGGTGCGACTAAATCCCGAAGAGTCGTATTACTTTTATGTTTGAGGAGCCACATCCGGGTACGGTATTGTTGGTACCCCGGATGTATGTCTAGTAACATACAATAATTTACTATGAGGGATTTGAAACTACAACTTTCCACAACATGTCTGTCCGTTGCATCCGTTACGTTTCCTGACACGTTCTGTGTGACACCACAGCGTCTTCACTCGGGAGGGGGGTTCTCTCAAGCACGTCAACAGGCAGATACAGCAAGAATCTCTTGGTCGTCTGTCAATCTACATGTACCATTATTGTGTTGAACTACTAGTATTTCCCGAAATGTCGGGCTACATTCTAATCCCGGCCACAGCTTTTGCTTCTAGAGAAAAAATAACAGCGGTGGTAGTTCCAAAAATAAATTTGTCGACGAACCGGAACAACTACATGTATATATATTTTCGGGTGTAAAGCGGTTAATACATTTATATTGGAAAAATCTGTTAAAGTAAAATACGACAAACATTTCATTTGTTCAGTCCAGGCATATTGTTTTCCGACTTCCCATAGAGACGATTCTCTCCGCCCACGCTCCTCGAATAAGCGCAAGCGGCGCTTCAACGCACGCCTGTCGTTCCACGCGAGATGACGTCACTCATTGTTCCAAAGCGACGCGGAGAATGAAAGGTCACAATGATCTCTATTTTAAACAAACGCGGCATTGTTAGGACATAATGATTGGATGAAAGTTTATTTATTGACGCGATCTGTTTATTCGATTTGTGTTTTTTGATCTTTATTTGTTGAAGTTGATTTTAAATAACGCGTCTCAGGTTTTTTGCTCCTGTTATAAGGTAAGAAAAAACATTGTTATGGCATTTACAAGACAGTGTATACGGGCATGCAGTGACAGGACATATAACGACAGTGTGTCGGTAACATGTCCTAATCATTTGAGACCGCGGCGCCCTCAAAAGCCCGGGACTTTGGACACTGGTCGACAGCAACCCCCCCCCCCCCCCTCCATACAATGTCCGCTCCCGGTACTGGAAGAACATGTAAGTGGGTGTTACAGTGACTTCGCGGTTTGCCCGGATTTACTCGAGAACAAGACCAGACCCCGATCAGACCCCGTTTCGCGCTGTACGCAAAACTGTAACGACCCCGCTTTGTTGGGCAATATTTTTTTGATTTTATCAGCCCTGCATGTTTTGTTAAATGTCTACTTGCGACGTATCAATAATGGTAATATCTAAATGGACGATTACGTCCGATATTCTGTCAACAAGGTTTGCCCATTTATAAGGTCATAGGGAAAGAATTGTATACACTGCATCGAATTAAATTAAATTAAATTAAATTAATTTTGTTTAAAATATCGTACACAATTATTAATTTAAAATAATTAATTTTAACTATAAATTTAAACTTTTTTCGCGGTAATCTATATTGAAGCATTATACTGTTAAAAACAATAAATTTCCTAATAACACGCGTCAACAATAATTGTAAAGAAGAAAACCACCCAGGGAAATAAACCTGATATAGGCGCAAGGTAAAGACGCTGGTATCGTAGAGGCCGTTAAGGTCACTAGTTGTAATCCAATTATTTTATTTTATTTTATTTTATTTTATTTTATTTTATTTTATTTTATTTTATTTTATTTTATTTTATTTTATTTTATTTTATTTTATTTTATTTTATTTTATTTTATTTTATTTTATTTATAATACCAATATAGGCCCGAGTCAAAGCCTGTCTTAATCTGAATTGTCTAATATTTCTGCTTAAAACGATCTTTATTTTTTAAAATAAAGTTGTCTACACGACAGAGACATAGATCTAAAATTTACCAACTGTCTACATACAATTAACGTTATATATCATTTAGAGAAAAAAATGCTTACAACTACCTAAGTAGTTAATTCTAAGTTAACTAGTGTTGATTTATCAATTTACTGACTTCGACAATTTATTTTGGATATTTTTCGCGTGGATACGGAAGAACTTTTGCTTGGAAAAATTTTAGATTTGGTTATTTTGGTTTTGCTGAGTTTTGTAAAAGAAATTATCGATTATAATTTATCGATCGGGTTTCTCAGGGTTACCCAAATATGCGTATTCCGAGTGCGGCCAAAATGATATATGAGTTTATAGTGGGTTAACGGTGTGTGGATGTAAGCTGTACGTCTAAAATGGATAGGAATATTTAACAAATAATTTTAACGTATTTCAGTTCTAACGGCGATTAACCATTTTTAAGTATGCACTTTTGAGGCAGTTCGGACTGAATTTGAATTAAATTATTTTCATTTTTTTTAAGAATATGAAGATTCGTTTTAAATAATGATGATAAATGAATTGTTTGTTCATTTTATGTCACGAGGCCGAGAAAGATTTTCAGATATGAAATAAACCAGTGTACCGAAAATTGAACATAACATTTCGGACAAGTATCTCGAAAAATAAACTTTTTTTTATTTTTGATATTCTATATATAAACGAGCTGCTCACGCCGATAATTTCGCCTTGTTTGGTGACGTAGACAAACTGATAAGAACCTTCCCCGTTGACGTCATAAATCGGAATAGTTCTCGTGGAGAAGACGAGACTTTGTATGAAGGCGTTGTTAGGAGCCGGGATCCACTGAAACTTGACGTAGTCACTGACAGACGCCCAACCCGCCGGGTATATACCAATCCAGTCATGTGACGACTGCGTCACCAAGTCGCCGACACGATAGGATACAAATATATCCTCGTTCGCTAAATAATATTCTGAAGGCTTAAACTCGCAATAATGAAACTATGACAAACATGGCATGTAATAGCTATCGGGCTAGGGGTTGTGGTTCTGCGTCAGAGTGGCGGGTGCGGGTTTGGAGGATAGATCGTTGTCAGGGGAATGAGTGAGACTGTCCGCGTTGAATTCGGGCTTTGAGAGTATCTTCTGGGATTCGCATAGGTGCTATCCCTAGCTGCTAAACAATACTTACACAAGTCGCTGTATGTCGTTTTTAGAGGCGGCGGCACGAAATGTTACATGGGGGGGGGAACTGATCACCAGCCTGAGTATCAAATTTTGCGACGCCCCCAACATTTGTTTCGCGGGGCGACCGCCCCTCTGCCCCCCGTACCTCCGCCACTGGTTTTCATCATTTATGATAAAACACACACCCAGAGCTGCACGTTCCAGGGCCTAATTGTACGTCGGTGAGTGGTGAGCCGATGCTCTCTTATACGACTGATCGACCGTCGTCCTGCTCGTCAACCCCTCTCGTTGTCGACCTAATTATCAAACATCCTGTCGCCAACCTCGCAGTCGACAGACCTGTAGTCAACCTATAGACCACTTTCCCGGAAGTAGCAAAACTGGGGTGCAAAAATACTCTTACTTTGTCATGGCCGAAAATACAAACAAGTCAGTTTGCTGATAGACGATAGAAGGAAATTTCATTTTTGTTACGTCGATTGGTACACCCAGAAACACAATATTACGAGTGCAAGTTTACGTTACACCCCAAAAAGACATGCGCGCGCATACGAAACGCCGTATCTTCGACTTCCGGGAAAGTGGTCTATTGGTTAGGCCACACCGACTTAATTTTATGGATGACATCCGCGCGCGCATTAGTTTTAGCCTGTTCTCAAAAAAAAAAAAAAAAAAAAAATTCCGACGACGAGTCTCCACATATCGGTTTTCTGTCCGGAACTTGCTGACTCATATTGTCGCAAAGCGCCGGCTTGTCGTAAAACTCGTTTTGGACTACCTCCAAACGTAATAGTAGTTTATAATATCTTCAATATATCATACCTCCAAACGTGCCTATTTTGTCGTAAATGATCTTCTGCACATGGGTATTGCGTTGCCGGGAATTCCAACATGGCGACTGCGCCACCAAAATACGTGAGCATAAAAGTTCAGAGAAAAAACGGAGGGATTGTTGTTGACTGGTACGCAATTGACGTCGGCCAGGGAGAGTCCTGTGGATTTAGCAGGATTTTTTTTTTTTGGCAAGATTTTTTCTTCTTCGCCTTCTCGCATTAGTTTTGGAGTCTCCAGAGGATGTCATCCATAAAATTAAATCAGTGTAGCCTTAACTGGATGTGTCATTCTCGTTGCATTGTGGGATGTATCGTGTTACCCTGAAATCACTACGCTCTTTTGCGTAAGGTCAAATGTTTTGTTGCCCTTAGTCACCGACCGGAAAATATGAAATATCGGGTCGCGTTTTTTTTAATAGGCCCAAATATTAAAAACTCACCATTTTAAACAGTAAAAAAGTGTTTCCTCCAAAAATTAACGATCCCGGGCCGTTGTTTTATTCCCTGGGTTCCAAAGGGATAAGTGGCGACTTTGAACCTCGGGTTGATCTGTATTTTTCTGACATTTTCCGAATACCATGATGTCTGAAGAGCAAACACGTCTTTTGCATTTTTGGCCATTTTCAGGCACAATATTAAAAATATCGCCGCACCAAGTATTTTCTTAATTAAATAAAAACAATATTTTGAATCAAAAGCAATACGTTTGTTGTAGTAAATATAATTTTTAATACATGAAATGCACAACATTTTATTAATTTACAAAACGTGACATTTTATATTAAACTCTCATCCGCTTACATCACAAACAAAACAACGGCTTTTGCACGTTGTTTTAACGCTGTCAGTATTCTCGCTTCCGGGTTTGTCACCGTGTGTAGGAGGTACATGTGTACAGCGGTAGCGAACATGGCAAAGACGTTTACTGTGTGCATGACAGCAAAAGCTGGATCAACTATTAAATTTTAAATTAAGTTTAGAAAAAAAAACAAGTCCGACCGACCTACCCAATTTTTCAATTTTCCGACTTGAGGGCAACATAAGTTTTGTTTTGTTTTGGGCCTAATCGTGCGAAATGAATTGCGCCCGCAGCGACTGAATTAAATTAACCTCTGCGATTGCCCATATCCTCGGGGGGGGGGGGGGGCGGACATCCCGGCATTTTCATCGCCTGGCAACCCACGGCGGTGAAAACAAAGGCCCAAAACTCGCAGAAAACGGTACTTTGGGGTGATTGTGGAGACTCCTCTGAACAGCGCAACAAGATTAGCCCTACGTGTTTAACATATATAAATTTGGTTGTTCAGGATTACTTCAAAGTTGAGTTTGTGTTGTTTTCTCGAATTTTCACCGGCTCGACCGGCGTTCCTCAGCAGCGCGCACAGAGCCCATAGAAATGCATGTACAGTGGTGCGCGTCTTAGCAACGTAGAACGTCTGTGACGTAGCTCCGCCCCCGAGGATAGCCAAAGGGAGTACTTTCATATACTTTTAGGTGTTTTTCAGACTAGTGACATAATCTTCAACAGAGCATTCTCCGTTTACTGCGAGATCCCGCGTTATGTGTGAAATGGAACGTAAAACCAAGACAACGAAAGTATGGGGTATTTCCACGCTTAATAATATCCTCGGGGGCGGACATCCGGGCATTTTCTACCGCCTGGCAACCTTCGCGGTGAAAACAAAGACCAAAAACTCACAGAAAACGGTACTTTGCGATGGTTGTTGAGAGTGCCCTGAACAGTGTAACAAGATTAGCCCTACGTGTGTAACATATATGAATTTGGAAGTTCAGGATTACTTCAAAGTTGAGTTTGCGTTGTTTTCTCGAATTTTCACCGGCTCCACAGGCGTTCCACAGCAGCGCGCACAAAGCCCATAGAAATACGTGGTACAGTGGTGCGCGTCTTAGCAACGTAGAACGTCTGTGACGTAGCTCCGCCCCCGAGGATCACTATAACAAATGGAGGTCAATTTTGATGGAGTAAAGGTCTATCAATGCTATTTTCCTTTTTGAAAATTTGGTATTCCGACATTGGGCTAGGCAAAACAGAAATTCATGTCTAAATCAAATAATTCATTTCCAGTCGCAAACAATTGATCCGCACACGACGCGAGATCTCGCAGTGATTGGGAAATTCACTATTCGGGCTGAACATTTCGACCTATTTATCATATAGTGTCAATTGTGTCACAATATTATGTTTCAAAAGTACTACTATATCTAGTACAAGTCATGGTTTTTAAGAAAATCTTTTAATTCAATGCACAAATGGGAATTTTTGGAAATAATCTTTCTAGAAATTCATGTAAAGGCATCATATCATGAAAAATAAATAATATTCCCCCAGAATTTCCCAATGATTCGTAAATATCAGAATTATATAACGACATACTATTTTATACTATATGTCACCGAAAGGTATAAAAATTCCTTTTTTCCCTGTCGTTGTTTTTATGGATTTTAAAGTATTTCCGTGGCCGTATAAAACCATAGTAATAATACTTGATATTAACAAATATATTTTTTTTTCATATATTTCAGATTTTAGATTTAGTATGGCGGCCCTGAAGCATGCCAGCTCGTGCAGTTCGGCTAGTTCTAGCTCGAGTTCAGAATGTGAGGCGATCAACTCATTATTCGAACTAGTGGAGTTCCGAGACGTACACAATTCATATTTGGCGAACGAGGATATATTTGTATCCTATCGTGTCGGCGACTTGGTGACGCAGTCGTCACATGACTGGGTTGGTATATACCCGGCAGGTTGGACGTCGGTCAGTGACTACGTCAAGTTTCAGTGGATCCCGGCTCCTAACAACGCTCTCATACAAAGTCTCGTCTTCTCCACGAGAACTATTCCGATTTATGACGTCAACGGGGAAGGTTCTTATCAGTTTGTCTACGTCACGAAAGAAGGTGAAATTATCGGCGTGAGCGGCTCGTTCAGGCTCTGTCATGAAATGGAAACGTTTCCAGAAGAAGAAGTTTCAGTCACTCCAGAAGAACCTATCGAGCCTCTGGCACTGATGGATGATTACTACGGAACGTCTGGTGCCGATGAACGACAGGACGGCATTTCTATGCCACAAGAGGACGCTACAACAGCAACGGAAGAAACTTCGGACGTAGAGGGTGATATCTCAAAATGGCTTGATCAGATCACGGAGGGGGCGATGGATTTTTGCGACTCGCAACCAAATCCAATGATGGAAACGTTTATGCGATTTACGGAACCGGAGAACACAAAAACAAGAAACCTTCACCAAAATAGAGATCACGTAACACTGACGGATGAAGGCTTATTTGCATTCAATGTCATGTCGCTATTGGCGATCCTTACCAACTTGACAGAAGAGACGGAAGAAGACAACCCTGAACGCGCCTTGGTACCTTATACTCCACAGGGGGTTGCCAACCAGCAGCTGATTTCAGTAAATCAACCCATGGCTGTGACCCGGATGCCCCTACTAGCAATTGAATATAGTCCAAGCAATGAAATGGTTATAATTATATTTTTTATTATTATTATTTATGTTTTTGGTAGTTATATCATTTAAAGCGCGGTGGTCGTCGCGCAGCGCGTGTTCGAATTTCATGTAAATAAACAATGTATTTTACACGCGTTGTGTACGTCGCTATGAGTCCTATATCGAACAGGACGCGGAACGACGACTGCCGCCCTGTAAAAGTTGCTGTCAAGCAGGATTCCTTTTAACCAATACGCTTGACCGCTGTCTGACGTCATGCTTTTCAAGTTTGTCGTACAAGACTTTCACGTGGCGAGTAAAGCACGACGAAACACGAATGGTTATTTTTTGACTCTGCTCTTTCTTTATACATTCGAATTTCATTATATGAACAGTTGCAATCAATGTTTATTGACTTTGTTTACAAGTAATCGCGATCTGAAACAAACGCAACTTCGGAGAAAACATATCACTGATGTTTCGTTGTTTTGCTGTGTGTTATGTGACACTCAGATGTCGTGCTGTTGAGAACACTTTTATCGACATACTGTAAATGCATTAATTATTCACCGGGCTTTAATTTCCCCATTTTTACTGATAATGTAAAATCCGCTAAATTAAATCTACGCGAACATGTAAAATTGAAACTAGAACTCATTGTTTAATTGGTTTTACAGTATATTCAGAGAGCGCCCCTTTTGTCGCGGTGTTGAGTGACATCGGCGGATTTACTTCAAAGGATCGTGGTTAGAGGGCGTGATACTAATTCAACTCAGAATCTTCCATGTTTTTTTTTTCTTCGAATCATACAGCTCATGACTGTACCAATTGTCATTTTTGTTTTATTATACTTTTGTAGGATATTAACGAGAAGTGGGATTCAACAAACACCACCACCACAACAACAACACAAAGTCAAGAGAAACAAGGCACGCTTCTTCAAAAGTGTGGTGACGTTTTCCAATGCAGCGCGTCCCTTCAGGTATCACCTGCCCTACCTATGATAACATGGTACGACCCACATTCTGATGATTGCGTGTTGGAAGCTGATTGGAGGAGAGATTTGAATGACAAGATCAGAGCTAAAGATATCCTCATTGAAGAACTGACAAAACAAGTTAAAGGACTTGTAGCTGAAAATGGTCAATTAAACCATTACCGTGAAAAAAATGATACCATGGAAACCCGGGTAAAGCTACTTTTTCTTGAAAACCAGATTCTCGAAGAGGAGATTGGCAAACTTCTGACTCGCATGAGCAGCACTAAGCAGGTCAAGGAGTTGGAAAATGTCAAGCAGAGATATTCGGAGCTTGAAAAGTGCCACCAAGTGGTGAAAACGAGAAATGCTAAGCTTGAGAAATACATGGATTGCATTCTGTACACTTTGGCTATTCAAGGATTCACCCATGTTGAGGACATGGACGGTGTAGAGGTATGTAAACATTAGTCACGTGCAAGTCACATGCGAATCACGTGCAAGTCACAAGCGAATCACGTACAAGTCACATTTGAATCACGTGCTGGCTCAGAGAACAGTGTACATGAAAAATACATATTGCTAAATAAATGTTCATAGTAACACGGTCCGTCTTATTTTCACAAATCTGCTTGCCTGTCATGGTAACTAATTATCAACAATTGTTTTTTTTTTCTTTTTCCAGACTGATATTGGTTATTTTGAACAAAAGATTGTTGGGGGTCGTCAAGAGTGTGTTGTTGCTTCTACCAAAGACATGGTGGCCAAGAGATCTCAAGAAACGTGCATTGAAGGTATGAGTTGGTGGAAGTGAATCACTAGTATATTTGTAATATGGACTATGATTTCTGTGGTAAAATTCACTTTATGTGTATGAATTAAATTGTCACAATGTCGTTTTTAAAGGAAGTTAATGACACAGCCCTGTTCCAAACATGGGATATGGTTTCTGTGGTAAAATGCACTGTATGTATGCATTTAATTACCATAATGCCATTATGATAGGAAGATAATAATGCCTATGCTATGTTAAGACCTTCTATTTATCACAACAGTAGTATCAATATTACAGAGATTTCATTGGCAGAGTTGATGCTTGTTGAAGTAATTGTTGTTGACGTTAGATTATTATTGAGGGTAAAGATGAACAATGTCTAAACAAAATTGCTGTAACATATTTGAGCATATAAGGTACCGATTTAATTTAGTTGAGTTGAGTTGTGAGTCTGATAAGTAGGGGCATCACTCTATGGAGACATTGTACAATTATATCCACAATGAAAACAAGTCTTTTATTATTTATTTAGCCCGTCAGGTGACCCATTATTAATGTTATCAACAATTTGGCAAAGAAGTAGCCTAAGCTTACACATTGTTTCCAAGGTCTATTCGCTTAGCAACCATAGAAGGCGCACAGGAACTCAAAACTTGTCTATTAGAATTACTTTTAATTAAGTAATCAAGTAAAGTATTCCCTGATTGGGCTAGGAAGGAGTAGCCAATCAGCAAAAGTTTTACTAGAGTCCACTAAGTTACTGATTTGCTTATGTTTTATCCACAGTAAAGTGTTGTCTGATTGGGCTAGGAAGGAGTAGCCAATCAGCAAAAGTTTTGCTAGAGTCCACTAAGTTACTAATTTGCTTATGTAAAGTGTTGTCTGATTGGTCTTGGGCATTGTTGTTAGAACAGAACAACCAATGAGCAAAAATCTTCCTACTAATTTACTATTTGTTTCATCTTTTGTTCACAGTTGAAGATAATCCCGGGTGTTTGAAGATGATGAGTGTAACGTCAGCTGTTTCCCACTTGAAATCTGAGAATGAACATCTACAAAAAGTCATCGTTGATTCGTGCGAGAGGGAGCGAATAATTAACATGAGTACCATTGCCCTACAGGCACAGGTTGAGGAATTGCAACAACATCTCAAAGAAGTAGGAACATCGTTGAATAAATCGTTTTTAGAGAAAGAACGATTGGCTGAACGATTGGAGGAAGAGAAACAACACCACGAGAATATTCATCATGCAAATCACGTCGAGATTGAGCACTTGAGGAAAAAGATTCGATCTTTGCACCGAATGGTCGACAGTGAGGGGACCGGTAGAAAAAACGCTGCCACTTCTTGTTACCAAGGCTACAGGTCAAGATGGGCTCCTGGTTCTGCGAAACAAATGAATCACATCGGTTTTAACCAATCACAAAGTTCGAGAGAAACTCCTACATTGATGTATGTTGATGAAAGCACGGTAACGATGGCAAGACCACATATCAGTCAACCAAATGAATCAACGAGTGGGACGAGTGCTGCCTCAGATGAATCAACTGACTCACATTCTTGGAATAGACAACATACAAAACAGTTTGTCGCAGGAAAGAGAAGGGAATTCTGCAAACCAGCACGAGAGGGGTGGGAAAAAATCAGACAAGTCAGACAAGATCATTCACAGGTTTCGACACCGGCCACAAACGTACATGTTAAACCAACTGAACATCAAGGCACAACCTCCAAAGACACAGTGACATCATCTACTGCTGCTGCTGATGTGAGCTGTGCATCCAATAACCCTGGATCATCTAATGACAAGCCTGAATTATCTTTTCCTTCTCAGTCTGCCTCTTCTGCCACCAAATGCCATCCTTTGGTTAGCAGTTTTGCCAAAGCTTCAGAATATCTAACATCTTGGGCTGTAGCCAGTTCTCTCTTTGATGAGCAAAATAACTCAACTGCAAAACTGGACTGCGCAACTGCTTGTGCGGACTTAGACGACTTGGATACACAGATTGGCGCTTATGGTTTTGACACAAACAAGATGCTATCTCCCAAAGAATCTACGGATGCTTCATCTGATCAGTTGGGAAATGCCACTTCAAGTGCAACGACTGATAGCAAATTGAAATCTGGAACCAATAACTTGAGTGGTGCACGTGCCAAAGCAGATACCAATGAGAGAACCAGGCAAGGACATGAACAACAAAAGAAAAAGAAGCGCCATTCTAGCAGTCGCCGACAACATCACTAAAACATAATTTGCACACATTTACATTACATTTCTATATTACATAATCTGACACAACACACCACATAATCTGAAACAACATAACACATAATCTAACACAACATAATACATTCACATACATGTTAAATACAATTACACATCAAAAATACAAATGTTAACAATGTTTTTTTTAGTGTGAGCCTCCATTTACATCTTAAATAAAAGTGATGTTAACACCATATTTGATTCAATTGTTTCAATCAAGCACTGAATATGCTGAATATAGACGCAAATTATAGCCAAGACTAAGGAACTTTTTTTTTAATTGTCAAACAGGGTTCCATTTTCTCATATTATTGCCTTCTTCTGTTCAATTAACTTGTGGCCGAATTTTGTAATGAAAAACAGGCGATCAAGTTAACCTTTTCACCACCAGACTCTTTTGCCCAAATGTTTCTGTACTTTTTTTTTTATACAATATTTCTGCAAATGAACCCTAATTTTGGAACCAATAGACAACATTTGAGGAAATTTTCAGTTTTAATTTGGCTATTTTTGTCAAAATCTTTTGAAAGAAAGTGCAGACTATAAACGGGACAACTTTTTTGCATTTGTAATGAAAAGAGGGTGGTAAAAGGGTTAAGATCTGTTAAGAAATGCGCTTGATTTTAACGCGCTTTCAAAATTCCCCGATCTTTTTCGCAGCGGTCATCCCGCATATGCGGCCTAAGTTATTTGAAATGCTGTAAAATGACTAATTTTCACTGGGTTTAAATTTCACTGATTTAGCATTTCAGGCATATTCAGTGGGTTTTAATTAAATTCACGGTTTTATCATTTAGATAATGTGTTCTATGCTCCATTTTACATATTCACTGGGTTTTAATTTAGCGCATTTGCCAGTCAGCGAAATAAGCAAAATTAAAACCCAGTGAATAATTAACCCCTTTACAGTAGTTGATGTGATAATGGAACACTATAAAAGCAGAAACAACATGACCCGAGTCAATGCGAAGATACAAGATTGTACCTGGATTGGCTACCCAATCCTAAAACCAAACAGTCAGACCAATCAGAAAGCAGCTACTTTGTTTATTTTTTTATGTATTGAATTCTGTCTTTTTATGTATTGAATGCTTCCACTGCGAGATTTTGGAAGCCATTATTATATGCTAATTGGCCACTATCTAAACTGATTAGACACACTTTAATTGAGTACATGTTAATGTTTTTTATTATTTTTTGGCAATTGCTGAGTAAACATTTTGTGAAAGTGGATATGATTTTTCACTGTAATCACTTTCTCCTATAAACATTACGCTTCTGTTTATTGCGCCCTCTAGTTACAAGTGTTGTAAGTTAGTGGAGGAAATTTAAAATATTCAGTGAGGCTTGCGTTATAGCGACCACAAATTGTTTATATACAGGTGGTATTCAAATTGTTGATTACTTAAAAGAAATGTCAAGCCAAACAACATACCAAACACAGGGGGTAATGACCCCCTCAAGAAAAAGCTAAACACAAATGTAGGGAATGCAATTTCCAGTTTTTTTACTTGTTTGGTATTAAATAGATGATAAACAGTGAATATTTTAATTCATATATGCCATTACTGCATGTCTAAATCTTTGTATTCACTCTTTTCAACAAGAATCGCAAAAATAATTAAAAATCAAGGGTCGGGAATTTTTTTTAATGAGGTACGTGTGCTTTTAGAACACGTCACATTCACAGCACAGCACATTCTACGTTCATTTTTGAGGAAGGACTGTCAAATTTTCGATGCAAAGGAAAAAATAAAATAAAAGTCTGCTGATTCAATTTTGGGATATTTTCTTCCAATATTTTAACCTAATTTGCATAATGTTCGGAATAAAACTGAATAAAAATATATAGTAGTACTTGTATTGGTGTCATGATCGAGTCACTAAGAAAATGACCTCTGAATTATCAACTCCATGCCGTTTTTTAAGGTGGCTCAATGTTTCACGAAAGTATTTGGATTTGCGAAGAGATTTGTTCTTAAACTCGAGGTAATGAAACGATGATACGTAAAGATGCGGCAGTTTAAAGATCGGTGGTCGTCGCGCTGCGCACGTGCAACATTTATGTTGATAAACTTTGATTTTCCCAAAATCAAATGCGCTCTTCTAATAGAAATCACTCGTATGAGGTTTGACCTGGGCGCGACTTGCACTAATTACCGCCAATGACTCCTTCGATACCCCCCAATCACCTTAAAACTGCCTAGCGTCGTAGCGTCTCAGTTTGTACACGTTGATCTGCGCAACAGTCAAACAGTTGTTTTTTATGAGATTCATATATCTCGCGCATGCGTGGCTCGAGGACTACCGACCTTTAAGTAATTTGCTCCATGCTAACACGAGACGAACGTTGACTAATTCTTTCACATACTCACTCATTTCGTTGCATTTGGGATTTTTAGAAATATATGTTCGTGATCACTTTGTGATCCTCTCGCAAATCGCGTTACTTCTTCAAATCGCTTGAGACCTTCAACGAAAATCCCATCATTTGTATCCCTCGTTTTTATAAATCCAACTCCATTTTTTTCCAAGTGTAGTGAGTGCACTTCAAGCTCTACAGCGCCCTCATACGACATTCTTATCACATGATACCACTCATCAAATATAGGCTATGGGATTCTTGAGGAAAATTACACTTTTTTCTATATGTCCCGCCGCCCTCTAGTGGCGAAGAAATTTCATGACGTAATGGGTAACATGAATGCCGTTGAAATAGATAGCGTCACAGATATCTTGTTGGAATATTTTTTTCTTCTTGCAAATTCTCTGTAGCTTCTTCTGTTCTTACCACTCCAAGAATTTGTAATGACCCATCCATGATGCTTATGCATCATTATTATATTATTAGAGGGCAGAGCCCGAGGATTGGAGCAGTCGTTCTCGTGCGATCACGTCATCAAAGAGTCAGACTCGCCTAGTATAAAGCACAAAGCGTTAGGTTTTATTTGATACGCAATAGCACCACGTGACACAGTGTTTGCAGATGTATGAAAAGGCTTGCCACACGAATATGCATGAGACTGTTAGCTGTGACGTCACTTTGTCTACTGTTCGTAATACATTGTATTTATTTTTAGTGAGCTCAGAATATGCAGATAGCTGTTGTTTTCAATATACGACTCTGGTGGCGTAAGTCGTAATTTAAAATGTCCAGTTATTGGTTATTCCGTTCAAGTACATGATCGCGCCTGTTTCCAAATTTGAAATGGCTTGTCGTTGGCTATTCGATTCAAGATGGCGCCGCATTCAAAATTTGACTAGTTGTATTTCTAATTCAACATGGGAAAATTGGAATGTTTTAGCATTGACTAATCGTTCAAGATGGCGTCTCGCATTCGAGATTTGAAATGATAGACATGATAAGTTATTTTAAAAAGCGCAACACACAATTCGCACTGATAGTTAAAGAAAGGTGCCGTCACAGCTAATGTGCCCTGAAAATAAGTGTGTGGGAGAAAGTAAAATAATATTTGCATAAAAAGATATACATGTATATATTCTTGGATGCCGGAAGTCGATACCTCGCCTCCGTTTGCAGAAACAAGCACATCGGTCAAACTGAATAAAAAACTATGGAACTGGTATTTGCGTGAATTTTTTCCCTTATAAATAAATATTTTCTCAGAACTGTGAAATGTGGGTTTCACACGATAAAAAAAAAACAATTAAAAAATTGATTTTGGCGCCGAACGATATTTTTTTTAAAAACAAATCATTAGAAAATAATGTTTATCACCATCAAACTTTGAAAAGCAATTAGATTGAAATTGTGACGTCATGAGGTCATTTTTTTTTAAAACTCGGGGGTAATGATAGTATACACCACACAAAACGGTGACAGGAAGATCGGTAAGTGAAATACATGACGTACTACACTGAAACACGTGACGTACTATTCAGAAAGAACGACGACCATTGTCGCTTTTACCAGGGGGCGGCGCCAATATCATAAAGTCATAACGAGGCAATACTACATTTGCGCATGCGTAGATTTATGCCAATAAAGACAAATAGTATATTTGTCAATAAGAAGTGTACAAAATATAAACAACAATTGATTTTCTTTCTCTTCAAAAAAGTAACAAATCACTTCTGATATCAAGTACTAGTACATCTAATTTGCGTATAATTACTACAATTACAATACGAGTGTAAAATATATATATATTTCTATAATACATATATATATTTATATATAATATTATGCGCATGCTCCAAATCACGAAAAGCAAGTATAATATAGATAGGGAGATATGCCAAACGTGACACAGAATTCTAATATACAAAAATATAAATAAACTATTTTTCAATGATTTATATCTGTAGCTGAAGTCATACACAGCTGACAAATTGGCATATAATAAGCAGGTACATGCAAATGAACTGATCACGTGACGTTACTGATTGTGTTCGCCAACGTTCACGTTCATGTTTTGTCTACTTTGTTTTTAAGTATGAAAAAAAAAATATTTGTACAATTTTCTAAAAATGGTATTGCTGAATTACTTGGTGCGTTGCCGCTTAGTTCTTTTTTTACGCGTATACAGTGGCATCGTGGCGAGGATGCGATCATTTTCACTCGACGTGCAATGACGTGCGTTCCCCTGCCAGCCCACCAGTGACGTATTCGATCCAGTGAATTGCGCCCTCTGGTGATGCAGAATTCAAACCGTTTGCTGCGGAGCGATTCAATTCAGACAGAAATTCCATCTGCGTGTACCAGGTGTTCACTGAGGAATGGCCCTGCGAACGTGTAAAGCAGGTACGGATACCAGTGAACGCCCTCTGTCGACGTGGTCGCAACCATTCTCCATATATGGGAGGAGACATCATGTAAGAAACGAATTGGTCCAAACGCAAACTGCGCAATGTTGTGGTTTACCATTGCATAACATGATGCTACAATGTTGTTTATAATTATCGTCCCTTCCCGGGTGAGCGGCGCGTACACGCCAACGTTTTCAACTGACGATATTGTAATTACTTTAGCTGGCTTTATGGATGAATAGCGCCCCCTATCGTGCGATGTATACACATAATGCCCGAGTTCAACATCTGCGGCATAAACTGGAGACACAGAGCCGGGGTCAAAGGTCACATTCGAACGACTCGCGTAGACAAGATGCTGAGGAGTAAGAGTCAACTTCTGTCCATCCTCTGTTTCAATCACATGAAAACGCTGCCGTCTATTGGGTTTACTGTCCATCATCATGATGACGTCACTGTAAACGATTGTTCCATCCTCGTTCACGGCCATAACTTTTTCTCCAATAGTAAGTTGGTCCAAACTCTTCGTCAGTCCATTTTCCAGAGTGACTGTGGCGTCGCCGGGAAAACAGCTTCCAGATTTAGCGGCCAGTGAACTTTCTGAAAACACAGTAAACAAGACACGTTAGTAAGTTAAACATGAAGACAATTATCTACAAGACGACCAGTCGGATGTCGCCTTCTTTGTTTCACTGGTTTTGAGACCAATCACATTATGTTTTAACATAAATACTTGGACCCAAGTTAGTGGACGACTTTCCTGGAGTTACGATTGATTTCATTGACTCAGCCATGGGTTGGCCCGGGTTAATATAGTTACAGGTACAATTAAAGAGCGGTAGTCATCTCGCCATGCACGAGATATTTGGGACTCATGTAAACAAAGATGGCGACTTTGACTGTTCCGCAAATCAACAAGTACAAACTGGGTTTGTTACCAAGCTTTAATTGGGTATTTTTTAGGTGCTTGGAAAGTATCGAAGGAGTCACCGGCGAAAATTAGTGCAAGTCGCGCCCAGATCCTACATCATACTTTCATTAGAAGAGCACATTGGATTGTTGGAAAATCAATGTTGCACATGCGCAGCGCGACGGCTACCGCCCTTTAATGTACACGTGTCCATACCACTTATAGAATACGAGTTTGCTAATAAACGAGGCGGAAATGACGTGTAAATGGAAGGTGTGTATCTTCCAGCAAAACTGTATTTAAATACTTTTATTGTTACAGTTATTGTTAGTTTGTTGTCCGCGCGGTCATGTGACACTCATTTTTTTAAATTATCGGGTTACTGGGGAAAATGCATGAGGCTTTCGTGATAAGGGGTTATTATGAGACGGGTGCCGACTATTTCTTAGTAAACAAAAGTGGGGGAAATTGATGTTGGCGAAGAAAGAGGGCGCTAACGCATAACGTTCGAGTCTCCCATCGACAGAAATCAAGATAATCTCAGTCGGGCGGGGAATGCCGAATGAGTCGGGTACGTGACTGTGGATAACCTGAATAGCATGGATCGCATACGATATTCAGGGCTAGACTAAGACAGTCCAAATGAGACGCGATATTATCGCACCCATATTTTGGAGTAAATAAGGAACCTGGAGATGGTCGTGCCATGTATTGACAGAGGTGATCGTCCTCTTTCCTTGTCAGACTGGTTACTGTTTGTCTAGCCTACCATCCCTGTAGAATAATGTTACGTTCCATTTATGGTTTGGAATGATGTGAGGATGTGTAGTCTGCCAAGGACGAATATGGGCACGTGACGACATGAATAAAATATGACCACGTAACCTTGGTTTGGACAGAGGAGTGTCCGTCAATTGACATTTTAATAATACGTTAGATCAAAAACTTCGGGGCTTCTTTATGTGAGGCTCTTCTGTCGTTTGTTCACACTCCCGATAATTGCAGGATTATCTAGGATAAACGTGTTTGCCAAGAATTATTGAACTCTTTCTTCGGTGGGAAGCCATGTTGTTTTCTTGAATTTCTTTTGTTTTTATTTTAGCTGTAATTGACCCAACTCGGCGTATGAAGTCAGAAAATCTTGAATAAAGATGATGTGACTATTTATTATTTATTATTCAATTAAATTATGCAAATGACAGAAATCGACCAATCAATAGGTGGGCAGTTTTATCCTAACCCAACAGGATTAAAATAAGATCATTCATACGATTTAGTTTTCATTTTTTAAATGTAATTATTCATTTTCATATATTTTATTTTATATTTTAATTTATTAAAATTTTGCTGTTTTTTTAAGGTTAGCTGATCGCGAAATCCCACTAATAAGATGAACGTACTAAAAATACTCATGTAATAACAAACAATTACAAAATATGAAAAAAATATGAAAAATATATAGAATTAAAAAAAGCACGCCATACAATACATCTGAATGTAATGATATTAGTCTAAAGCATGAAGTGTCGCGGTGAGTAAATTAATGGCGGGTGCGTTGCATTCCAAACATCATATATATATTATAATTTTAGTGATTGGAAGATTTTTAAAAAGTGTTGGCAACACATAGCCGTTTTAATCTCCAAAACTCCTCGCAAACACTGAAAAGTGAAATGCGTAAATTTACGCCCGCCGGCGGCGCCATTTTGAAAATATCTGACATGCGCAGTGTGCATGACGACGAAATAGTGTCCGCACTATGCGAAATAGTTAGAGAGTGATTGCAACCATGTAATGTGAATGATTGATTAGATAAATAACTTTCATTCTGTAAACAACTGAAGTGAAACTAGTCGACCTGCTGACCCCTTAATGTGAAATTAAACAACTTTAGCGGTAAACTTTATTTTTTTAACTCACGGCTCGTTAAACAATCGATGAAAGAAGTCAAACACTAGGTGTCTGATTTGAACTTTAACCTCTGAACGGTCCGCTGCTATTCTAGCGACACATCCGCGAGACTGTGTGTTTGAAGCGTTTAATGATATTATTTGACGTCATCATATCTTTGGAGCAAGTTTCGAAGAGTTAATCCAAAAATGAACATAGATCGGAATCGTTTAAAGAAATGTAGTTGCCGTAGCAATTACCAATTTGAAATATGAATGCACTATTTAGATAAACAAACTTGAAATTGGCCCATTTTGTTAAAGTTGTTGTGCTTAGAACGAATACTTTGAACTCAAAATTGTGGACCGTGTTGTCGTCTGCCCGAATAGCGCGCGATTCGCCAAAATCAAGTGTTAGCATCTAGACTATGATTGCGAAGTTGAGTTAGTCTAAATAAATGGGACATGTTTTTTACGAAGTCCCTAGCTCAAGACAATTGCTTAAACCATGCATAAATTACTTACAAAAGGAATGACAAAATTCTGACGATATGCTAACGATATTCAAACCCTCATATGCTGCCCCCTTCAAATCATATTTATATGACAGAAAATTAATGATAATTAATGTAGACAAATAAATAAATAACGCGTGAAATGGCACGTGCTCGTGATTTATGTGTTAGGTTATGTCATTCGTGTACGTCATATCCGATATGTTATGATAAATCGGAAGTAAAGGTGGTCAACAGGTCATGATATTTACACCATCGATACGTGGTGCAATTTTTACAGATGAAAATCTTTCCCGCCTAGTTGTTGAGGCGAGACGTATGGGTCCAATGCGACCTATACGACACCTGTAAAATATATGGATGTGTATATTAAATTCGTACGCGTGCCGCGTAAGTTGTATTTTGGCGCGGAGGCTTCAAGTCAATGTCCCCCCCACTGACGTCATTTTCAAATGTTCTGTTATGCACACCATTGCATACGGCGTAATGTAATGTCACTTGATCTAAAGTTATCTCCCTCTGTTGCAAAAACGATCTGACACGACCGTGTATTTCAAACTGAGCATGCGCACACCAAATCGAGCTCGGAGACGACAGACAAAAATATTCTCCTCTGTTTCAAAAACGGTCTGACGCGACCGTATATTTCAAAACTGAGCATGCGCACACCGAATCGAACTCGGAAACGACAAAAAAAATATCCCCCTCTGTTTCAAAAACGGTCTGACATGACCGTGTATTTCAAAACTGAGCATGCGCACTCTGAATCGAACTCGGAAACGACAGAAAAAATATTCTCCTCTGTTTCAAAAACGATCTGACGCGATCGTATATTTCAAACTGAGCATGCGCACGCACGTCATATTCTCAGACGACGGAAACAAATATTTCCCTCTGTTTCAAAAACGATCTGAGCGACCGTATACTAGTATTTCAAACTGAGTATGCGCACGCCAAATCGGACTCGGAGACGCCGGAAATGTTACTTCTGTACGAAAGGACACATCTCCGGTGAAGTCACGTGATCATTCTCGGCACTTCCACTGGGATTATGCTGTCACTTTTCTCGTAATCTTACTTGTTGGATATTAGCTATTGTCTCATTCATGAATTCAGACGATGTGTTACAGTGATCCGACGTATTAGTCACAGATCTGTACTCACCTGGCAACACAAGTGGAAAAAATACAAATGAACATGGAAACTCCTTGCGATGAAATGTTTATACAAAACGGCGCTAGTTTCCAATTGAGAGTGGATACACTGAGGGCAGCATGCAAATATTTTGGGTTCTGCATTTTACAGCCTTTTGGGAGTTCTGTTCTTGCCCTTTACTTGGTTATTGTAATAGTCCAAATAGTGTTAACCCCCCCCCCCCAAATAAATATACTATTTACTGCTTCAAGTATTTTCGTCCGAGTACGTCACCAAGCCCGACATCTTTTTCATCATAGTTCGTGGTATGCACGAGACGGTAACTGAACACGTTGTTGCGCGTGAGCAACCGATCCCACAGACGGAGTATTACGTTCTACTCTGCATTTTTGACGACTTTTTTCGAAAAAGACAACTAAAAATGTTTGTTTGTTTGTAGTCTGTAATCGAGCAAGTTGCTGTCAATAATTAGTATTTGGGGGAGGGTTTTGACATCACCAATGATTGGGTGGTTTTGACGTACTGAGCATTGGCAGAGTAGTCTATATGTCGCGCATGCGTGTTTGGCAGTCTCAGAAATGTACATTCGCCAGCGGACTCATCGTGTATGCGCAGTCACGTCTGTCTCAATCTTGTACCGGAAACACGATATCTGTCCAGATTGATTAGAAAACACTAATACCGGAAATGAGCAATCGTAATTAGGATGAGAAAAGTGACACACGCAAGGTCAAGAGGTCAAACCAAGCTATATGGTGGGGTCGTCAACATAAGGTACACCTCGCCCACACTAATAAGAGTGCTACCAGATGATATCGGGGAGTCTCTCGCAGTCTGTCCGCATGTAATCCCCAAAGGTTGTCCACCCTGCATTATCATTCAGAGTCTATTCAATTCTGTAGTTATACCATTATTCCTTGTAATTTGCCTTGAAGGACGCACTATTTTATGTAAAATGTATGTCTCCACGCTGCGGTCGTGTTTCGACACTGTAATTCATTGAAATCAGGGGTTAACCATTGACATTCTGTAGGGAATTTAGAAGCGCAGACAAAAAATGAATAAAAAAATTCATGTAGAAAAATAATAACAAAACAAAGTTATAAAATCACTTGTATTTCAGGTTGACAA